TAAAGGTTCTGGCCCGAAAATAATGTATCAACATCATACACTACTAAACGCATCTAACATTGATAACATTGCTCTCTCAAGGAATACTTCTCTTCAGTATGAAATTTGTATTGTAGCCCCTTTTTCATCTCAAAATATGAGTAATCATTTGCCAATATTAATTGTAATTGGACTCAGAGGCCAATCTCTCAGAGAAAAAGTTAACAAAATTATAGACAATAATAGCATTCCTAATTATGCCTGGAGTAATCAAAGTTTTAACAATTATATAATGAGTGTCAAAACAGTTTACTATTAATAATAAAAAGGACAAGAAATTAATCCCTAAAGAATTTGCCGATAGTTTCAAAACGTTTAAATACCAAAGCAATGACGCGTACCACTTCGAATTTTCAAGTTCCACTTTGTATCAAATTTGACATGGTAATAATATCAGATGAAAATATTAAAACGACTATCTCTCACCTAAAATTAAACAAGACCAAAAATGCGTATGGAATCTCTGCAGAACATTTAAAACATGCACGTTGCAAAGCCCTAACAGAGTGGCTAAGGAAATTCTTTAACTTTATTATTAACCACGGTCAGGCCCCAAAATCGAGATCTACATCACCAATTATACCTCTTGGTAAATCTTATAAAAAATTATTAACTGATTTAAATAACTACCGTGGTATTAGCATCATTGCAATCTTTACAAAATTAATAGAATATCTTATTTTAATAATCTGTCCAGAGATGAAAGAAACTCATCCTCTTCAATTCGGTTTTACTAAAAACAGGTCAACGTTACATGCCGAATTTGTTATAAGTGAAAAGATAAAACATTACAATAACAACAACTTACCTGCCTATCTCTGTTCTCTAAATGCTGAAAAAGCATTTGACAGCTGCAGCTGGGACATTTTATTTGAGAAACTATACGACAATAAAAAATTACCGCTTTATATTATTAATACTATATCGTCATTGTACCATGAAAGCAGTGCTTCTGTCACTTATCTAGGATGTAAGTCATATCCATATTATCTAACATAGGGAGTGAGACAAGGATCAATTCTGTCTCTTCACCTGTATAACATATATATAATCAAAGCCTACTTGAAACCATACAAAATAAAAGTATCGTAGGGCCATAAATTTATGGAAATTACACAGGTGTTGTAGCATACGCTGATGACATCATACTTCTTAGTTATACCCTATCTGGAATAAAAAACCTTATAGCAGCTTGTAATAAATACACTAACGCAAATTTTATAAAGTTGAATGCTAATAAGACCGAGTTCTTGTTCACTGGAAAAAAACAAATTGCAAACTGCACTATAACAGTCGACCACCAACAAGTAAAACTGGATGATAAACTTAATCATCTAGGTTTCATATGGGATACTAAAATCTCTTCTTTTGCCTCACTTAATCATTCAAATATTGATAATAGAATATCAAAATTCAGGGCAATAATCCTAACTCTTATTCAGTCTGGAATCCGTTTTGCTCATCCAAGCTCTATCGTCCAGCTATATAAAATATGGTTCCGGTACTTGCGTATGGTCTTGAAGTTTGCGATTATAAAGGCGTATTAATGCAAAAGCTTGATATCAAAGGGAGGAATGCACTTAAGTCACTCTTCAATGTTTCCAAACACAGCAAAAATTATATTCAATCTTTGTTTTACATCCAAGATGTATCAACAATCGTAATGCAAAACAAGTTAAACTTATTTATTCGCATATTGAGCAATAAAACAACCTTTGGTATTGTAAATTCGCAGTTTAAAAACCAAACCACTAAGCACCTTTTTCTAGATGAAAACCGGTAAGTTTGTAGACATCACATCACATCTACACATTTTATTTTGAAAAGATATAGGTTAGGTAACGAAAATCGTTTTTGATCTTAGCTAAAAGCTTGAGTTATTTATCAAAAATCTTTCACTGCAGCTTTAAAAGGAGTTAAGGAATTTTAGAGAACTGTAAAATTCAACTTCGGACATTCTTCCTTGGAGATAAGTTACCCAACTTCTCATTTAAACAACATAGCGCTTATCACAAAGCAAGATTTATAGTTAAAAAGTACTACTTGATTATTCTATAGATGATTAAAATTCTTTACTCTTCATTAGAATTTAACTTTTTTTTTTATGGTGTTTCCCTATTTGTTTCTGTTTTTAGTCATAGATGATTACAAACTCTAACACCATGTTAGTTGTATTATTGTAAGCTTTAAAAAACTTTATTGAAGAATGCAATAGCATACTCAAAATTAAAAAAGTAATATTTTTTGACCAAAATTAATGTAGAATGAAAACTTAAAGCTAAAAAAAATTTATTTATTAAAAAGTGTTCACAAAGACATTAACCATTTTTATGCTCAATATACTCTCCTTCAGTAACAATCACAGCTTAAAATCAACTTCTAAACTTGAAAACGGTAGTCTAGATATAGTTCTTATACATCTTGTTCCGCTTTTTTCTTGATTCACGAATTAGACACTGTTGTGAAGACTTTGGCAAACATTTGACTCTACATACGCCCAAATTGAACAGTCAAGAGGTGACAAATCTGAATATTCACGTGTCCATAGCTCTTTTGACAATTGTTTTTCAGGTTCTTTTAAAGCCACCTCTGGGTCTTATAGAACGTATGTGATGGTGCACCATTTTGATGGAACATCACAGTGTTGTCTGGAAAATAATTGGCATTAATCCAGGGCATAATGATCATCATGATCAACATCAACATGATGCTCCAGAGTTCAAATATATTCATCAGTTTCAACTTTCTAATCAGATTTGATAAAAACCCGAGAGATTTTAAGACCATCAGAAGAAACCAAGTCAAACATTGTAACTGAAGCCAGATGTTTGGCTTAGAGTGATTATTTAAAATGCTTTGGGACTGCTTGGACTGATTGATGACTAATAAAACAATTGGTTCTTCTTCTGTTTGACTCAGAATTAGAAGTAAATAGTTTCTCATCTAAGAAGAGAATGGTTTTTGGTCTCGTTTTTAGGAGGCTTAGAAGTTTTTTTAATCCTCAAATCTTCTTTCTTTGATCTTTGTAGAAATCAGATGCTTCATAATCCTGACTCTTTACTTTGCTTTAAGTTCCTTTCTGATCACGTTTCTGATAGTGTGCTGACTCATTGAAAGCTCTTTAACCATTTTCCTCATTTCTTACTGAATTCCGAGAAATTTGGCTCTTGACAATATTAATCAATTGCGGAGTTAGAACTGACTTTATTAAAGCACTGCCAAGCATCCTCTTAATACAATCAGTCGTTTGAAAACATTTAACCACAGTGTAGACAGTACTTAGAGGTTGGTTAAGCATTTTGGAATCATCTATGGGTGTTGTGTCATTCAGAGTTTTTGAGACTATTTTTTTGGTTTATGTTTATTTTTCAAAGTTTTATGCGTCAATTGTAACAAACTATGCGCGTAAAAGTAGAAACGAAACATTTGTTTTGATTAATTATCTAGTCTATTACTAGATTTGGGGTCACATACGGTAGGTAGTGACATATTTAGTAATGAAGTAAAATAATTGATAACAATATTGCGTATAGTAGTTCTTCTAAACTTCAAAACCATTTTAACATTAACAGCAAAAAAAACGACAATTTTTTATCTTTGATACTGTTTTTGTTTTGATAATGAGTAATTTTCTTGAAATTATAATGACGATAAGTACATGAGTTGTAGGTTCAAAGGTAACAAAATCTCTGTCGCTCAACTTGTTATCTTTAATGTTAATGTTTTCACAATTTAAGCAACTATGTTAAACATTTCATTAATCAAAGTTTAATGTTTACAATAAATTATCAGTTATGCTAAAACTTCTATTTTTCAACCACAACAATAAATTCTTAATTTTATTCAATAGATACAGTAAAAGTTCTTTGAAAATGTAATATCCTTTAAATCTATTACGCATTACTTGCGCAATTATTTTTAAAAACCAAGCTTTTTTTTATATTGTTCTGAAAGTTTTAAAACCACCTTTCCAATGTTTAAAACTTTCGTGTATAGCGGTTCAACCAATTTCGAGAAACCCATTTTATTTTTGCGGAAAATGAAAAAAAAAATAGTTAACATAATAAAGAGTTTTTTTTTTTTTTGTATTGGGCTAGCTTTCAGTTTGTAATGCTTACCATGTTCATATATATATATATATATATATATATATATATATATATATATATATATATATATATATATATATATATATATATATATATATATATATATATATATTATATATATATATATATATATATATACATATATATATATATATATATATATATATATATATATATATATATATACATATATATATATATATATATATATATATATATATATATATATATATATATATATATATATATATATATTGTTGTTTTGATTATTTGATAATAATCAACTCTTTTTCGACTCTCTTTATATATATATATACATATATATATATATATATATATATATATATATATATATATATATATATATATATATATATATATATATATATATATATATATATATATATATATATTTATGTATATATATATATATATATTTATATATATATAATATATATATATATATATATATATATATATATATATATATATATATATATATATATATATATATATATATATATATATATATATATATATATATATACATATATGTATGTATCTATATATATATGTATATTAATTTGGTTTCTTTTGGACCCGTAATTCAAACGAAGGGATTCATGGAAAAACTTTCAGCCTCAATCTAAGAAATATATATATATATACTTTATATTGTTTTTAAAACAATTATTTGGATAATTGTTTATAAACAAATTAGAATATTTTTTAATAAACTAGAGAAGTGTATATTTGAGAAAATATTCTTTCAAGTATGCTAAAAAAGATATTTTTATTTGATGATTGGTTTTGGTATGATAACCAAAATGAAAATAAGTATAAAGCTCTTACATGGACTAAAAATAAATGATCCAGAGATACTTCCATCAGGATTTATTTGTTGATATCCATTCATACCAGGCTGACTCACATGAACTGGTGCATAAGGGTTATTTGGAGCTGGCGGTGGACTTGGTTTTTTTTTTGGTGGGACTGGTGGCGATAGAGGCATCTTAACATTTTCTGCTATAATGAGAAAAAAGACAATTGATTTACATACATAAAATATTATTTACTTACCTATTACGCTAATGACTGCTACTAGTACTTGAACAAGGTGGGTAAAGGTATTATTACTAGAGGTGTTATACATTTAGGGCAGATACCCTTTTCCTATTGCGTCTGACCTTAAAGTTACTATTATTTACTAGTTAATACGCACGACAGTGATAAATCAATTCTTATTTCGAGTTGGCACGGGTCAAAGAAATTCTTTTGAGCGTTCAAAAAACGTCCAAAACGTTCAAAAGAGATTTAAAAGACGTTATTTTTACGTCCCATGCCCACTGGGTTATTGGTTAATCTTTATTGAATAATCAATAAGTTTATTACTTAAATATAAATTCTGAAAATAAAGTGCCTGACTAAAGTAGGTAAGGAACCTAACCAAAATTTGTTAAAAATTTCTAACTTTTTTTAATTGTTGTTTATTAATAATAAATTATTAGTATTTCAAAAGTTGAACTAAATAACAGATTCTTTTTTAAAATGGATTTATAGTAAAAAAAAATTTATAAAAAAATACCGTCTGATCGTGTTTCAGGAGAAACATGTTCATCTTCTCCACTTCCAACAAATGCGTCTTCTTTTTTTTTGGATACTGTTCGGTTGTTTTCGGATACTGTTCGGTTGCTTTCTTCTCCCGACGAAGAACTTTCGATCTGTAAACTTTCTTGACCTGAATTTTCCGTCTCATAAAAAGTTTCAGTTTTCTCTTTCTTGTTTGATGTACTGTTAGTTTTTCCTTAAAATAATATATATATATATATATATATATATATATATATATATATATATATATATATATATATATATATATATATATATATATATATATATATATATATATATATATATATATATATATATATATGTATATATATATATATATATATAAATTTTGTATGAACTTATTTGAATGTCTATATATAGAATATTAAAGGTAAAATTTGAAGTAAAATGTGATTGAACAAATAAGCTAAATCAGCATATGTAAAACGTATATATCTAAAACAAAAAAATATATTTAAAACACCCTAATGAGTATCTTTTTAATCAGCTCCGATTATTTGGTGGGTGGTCTCAACCCATGCTTATATCTGCCTACCTCGCTTATTGCCTTAACCCCTTTACTTACAATGCATTTAGCCTCACCTCAACGACCAATAAAACTAAATCTAGGATGCAAGTCTTTTAAAACTGCCTTCTAAAAGCTGCTGGTATTGATCCACATGAGGCAAGTTATTATGGTATCCTTCCTATTGAAGAACATCTTGATCTCTTATGTCTCAGCACGTATAAACGAATTTTAATCAAGCCTAACCATCTTATCACACTTAGTCTACATAAAAACAATCACTCGCATTCCACTTTCAAATTTAATATCAGATCTGCAAAATCAACAATGTATTTAACACATATCTACAAAAATTTATCCGCCACCTTCGTAATGATGCAAATAGCTAACTCTTCTCTATACGTTACCTAAAATCATTTAATAGAAAATATTGTACTATTACTTATTTGTAATCAATATTTATTTTCAAGAAAAGATTATATTTACATATCTACTTATGCTAGCTATCTATCTAATTTCTATCTATCCTACTTACCTTCTACTTGCTTTTATACTAAAAAAACAACGAGTTAACTAATATTTTTATCTGATATATATATATATATATATATATATATATATATATATATATATATATATATATATATATATATATATATATATATATATATATATATATATATATATATATATATGTATATATGTATATATATATACACATACAAAACCAATTATGCTTCTTAAATGGTTAATGATATAAAAAATGCTCTAAGAGCCGTAATGTCTATGTAATATTTTTTTTGGTAAACAAGAATTTTAGTGAGAGATTCTTTGTAGTATCGTGCTAAAAAGATTTTGTTTGAAAGTTGTATACATGCCTTTTTAATTGGGTTTTGAAATGTTCTATTCATTGAACAAGAGCAAGATTGTATTAAAAATAGGAGGTTATTCAATGAATAATTTTTTTTAATTCAAGTTCTTTATACGTAATCAGATCTAATCTATTAAAAGGCTCACTTTGCCCCAGGTTCCGGGAAATGCAAGACTGTAAAGTTGCTATCATTTAAAAAAGGAGTTTCTTAATATTGTAACAACTATTATAAATCTTTAAAAGAACACAAACATATGGTCTGCAAAGTTTTCTGTTGGGTAATGTGGTTCTTTTCAAGTTATAAACATTTTCCCAAAAAAATAACAAAAAAAAAACAGATAATTAAACGTAAAAAAAAAAAATTTTACATTTTTTTTAATGGAACTAATCTTAACCTTTGTTTTTAACTTAGTGTCGGAGATATTATAACAAAAAATTTCAATTTACAAGTAACTAAACTTTTGTTTCTATTTTTACTTACTTTGTTGTTTTCCGACATTTGATGTTACTTTGCTTGGAACATGCAGTTGAACATGAGGTTGTACTTTTTCGTTATCAACAGAACTTTCTTTACTACGATTGTTTTCCGTTAATTTTGTATTTAGTTTTTTACCTGGATGCTTTTTTTCTGACTCGATTACTCTAGATTCTAAAAAATAGAAATTGTCTTATTGGTAATGAGTTTTTTTAAGTACCAATGTTAATACAAACATAGACTCATAAAAACATAGTTTTTTGTAAAATATATCATAAAAACATATTGTTTTTTGTAAAATATATCATAAAAACATATTGTTTTTTGTAAAATATATCATAAAAACATAGTTTTTTGTAAAATATATCATAAAAACATATAGTTTTTTGTACAAATGTTTTTACACATTTAAGCAGTATCGTGGTTTTTTTAAAATCAGATTTAAAGATTAATTTTTTAATAAACAAAATGGCTACCCAAAGTACAGTGAAATAGTTAAGTTTTAGTTTACAAAGTAGGAGTAGGTAGAAAGTAGGTAGGAGAAAGTAGAAAGTAAGTAAGAGAAAGTAGAAAGTTGGTAGAAGAGATTAGAAAGTAGGTAGGAGAAAATAGAAAGTAAGTAAGAGAAAGTAGAAAGTCGGAATAAGAGACTAGAAAGTAGGTTGGAGAAAGTAAAACTATACTTTAGTAAAAAAAATTTATTTAAATATAAAAAAATAAATTGTTGCTATTGTTAAAATGGATGATTAAAGCTGCGAGGCATTTGCTTTAATATATTTTTTGAGTATTTAAGCTTAGAAATATCTTTAATTAAAGAGAAAATAAATAATTCAAGGGATACTTTCTTTTTGAACAGATTCAACCAATGATTTGTACTCTTCTTGCACCTTAGAAGCCACATGTTTTTTTTTATGATCTAAACAAAAGTTTAACAGTGTGTATTTATTAAAAATAATACATAGAAGTCACTTATCTGCTCTTGAAGGTTCTAAACGAATATAAATTTTCAGATGATGTTACACACATTACTAGCTTTCAGCATTTATTGTTCAGCCAATTACTCGTATTTTTAAATTGCAACAGTTAAAATAATTAACCTATATAATTTAACTATTCAAATTGAATATTTTATCAAACACCTACTATTAGTTATGGCTTTCCCCTCTATCAAGTAAGCAATCAAAACCAACAACAAAAATATCACTTCTGTCCGCATTATGAATCTGAAGAATAAATTTAGTAAACATTTTAGAGAATAAGTTATCTTCTTAAATATGATAATAGTAATAATATAACTACTATTATAGTTTAGTAAAAGGTTACACTAATCGTTAATAAGTAATTAATAATACAAATAATAATAATTAACAAAAATAATAATAATGTAAATATTGCATAATAATTGATTAATTTTGATTTTTTTTTTTTTTCAGATTGAAAATAAAAATTTAAACATTTCAAACACAAAATTTATTTCATTGCGTTAACTTTTTTAAAAATCAAACAATTCAACCTTACCTTAATGATATATTTCTGTTTAACACAGAAATGAAGTTCAATACGCTAAAATCACTGAGGCGTATTTAACTAACCCAGTTGCAGCCAATCAGCCGTGAATAAAAAGTAAACTTCGTGAGTTAGATATAAACATCTTTTATATATAAGTATATATATATATATATATATATATATATATATATATATATATATATATATATATATATATATATATATATTAAGGGCTTGAATTATGAATAACATATTTGTATTAATATATATTAATACAAAGTTGTCTTATATTAACAAGTATATAATGTAGTGTAACTATATAAAGTATATTTCTTTAATCCTTTTTTAAAGCTTATGCTGCTATGGTGTAGCAGAAATAAAAAAACAAAATTTCTTTGTTTTGCTTTTATTTCTGCTGCACTATGTATGGTCTAGCAGAAATAAAAAACATAATAATTCCCAAAATTTTTTTCATAAAATTTCAAATGTTCTTGCCTAAAATATTTTGTTTGATTTCTTGCTCTTAATGTTAACTTCCAATTATAACATTTGTGATCTCCCAGAAGCTTCATTTTATCAATTGTCATTCACAAACAAGAGTTTATAATTTTTAAAATAGTTTCAAAGCAAGATTTGCACATTCTATTACATAAGTTATGCAAAGACTGGTTGCAGATGAAACTTTTGCTCTGTATACTTTAGTGAAAAATCTATAATAATTATGTCACAAAAGCATCACACAAATAATGATCAACGTGCAAATATAATATAGAACTACTTTTAAAACTGTTTTCTTCATTAGTTTATGTGTTGAAGATGTTCCGGACTTATTTCCATTTTTTTCGAAAAGTTATTTATATTTTGCACTTTGCAGTTTTTGTTTTACTGTAAATAAGTAAGTCAAATTAATCAAATCAATATTAACATAACTAAAAACTAAAATTATTATAAAAAAAATTATCCTACAAGTTAAATTGATTACAGATTATTATTAAATGAAAATATTTTATTATACTTTGTACTAAGTTTGTTGAATATTGCAACAAAAAAGTAAAAAAATGCAGTAAAAAAGAAAACTCTTATGCTAAGACTTTCCCTATTTTTTAAATATAGCTATGCAAATATATGCATTTTAACTGTTTATATATGCAAATATATGCACTTATAAAGTTAAAAAATGCTTACTTGTATCATAACTTATTTTTTTATATTACTTGCAAAAAATTTTACTGCGAAAAAATATTTGCATATTTTAGGTAACAAAAGCTAACAAAATTACTAATATATATGACTATTTACTAATATTATTAGTAAATAGTCATAACAGTAAAAACAAGTTTTTATATTGAAAAAAAGTTGAAGCAGTGACAAGAAAAATATCATAAATATAAAACATATTTATCTGAAGTTCAAAAAAAAATTATTGAAATCCCACAGTCAGATTTTTCAGAAAATTGATTTCAAATAAATAAACAAATCTATTAGTTACACTAAAAAGTTGTTAATTGAAAATAAAGTTTTAGTACTCTAAGATATTTTTTATCTTTTTTTTATTTATATTTTTGTGAAATTTTTGTTATAATATACTGATCTACATAAAAATAAGGCTACAACATTTAGTTTTTAGAGATCAAATAACAAATAAAACGGTTGCCATATAAAATATACTCTGTAGTTAAGAACCGTAGCCATTTTAAAAGTTCAAAAGTTTTTCGCATTTTCTCACGCATGCGTACATAAACAAAGCGCTTGTAAACGACCGTGAGTAAGTTATCACAAATTTTGCTATAATATATTAGAAATAATTATTTAATATAATAAACATATTAAACTATTTATCTTTTTTTTTTGTTTATAACTATTAAAGTAACAATTAAGGTGACATATTTGAAAAATACCAGACGCGTACAAGGAATAAATTTGGTATGTATTAATACAAATGGTATTTAAAATCACCCCCGTAGCCTGATTTAAATATCATTTCTTTAAAAAGGGAGCATTTTTTCAAGAGGCGCTAAAAATAAAAAAAAATAAAGGCGCCTAAGGGCATTTTTTTTAGCGACTATATTCATCTATTTTTTGATAAGATTTTTTTATTTTTTTATTTGATAACAATTTTTGAATATATGTTTAATTTCAATTTTTTAGTGGTCAAACAGGACAAAGCACAGGGGAGTACGTGCCCTCCTCGCTCCCACACTGCCTACGGGCCTGGTTTAAATGGGTTTTACTAAAAACTTGTTTATTTATTTTAAAATAGCATGTGAAGAAACTGAATTATGGAAAAAATATTAAACAATATTTGCATTTTTAAATCACAAATATTTTTCATGAATGAAATCCAGCAACATTTTATCTTTTGAAATTTCTTTTACAAATTCTGAGCAACAATATTTTCTTAAATTTAACAAACAAAATGGCTGCCAAAGTTTTCATTGTGAGTTGGGATTTCCCTTCCGTCCAAATACCATTGGCAATCGAAAACAATTGCTCTACGGAAGTAATTGTCTTACCATAAAAGGTAGAAATTTTTCTTCTTTTCTAGATTTTATCTAAAAAATAGAAGGTCTCTTGAAAGAAAGTATGGGAGGGGGCACGCTCCCCCCTGGTCCTCTGGTGTCGTCGGCCTTGTGATATAACTTAAGTATTCTTTCGATAGCTGGATGAAAGGCCAACCAACAAACTTCACAGAAGTTTTCTAAACTAGAAACTCGAACAGTAAAATGATAAAAAAGAAATAAGTTTGAAAAATAATTATCTTCACACCAATAGATAAACAATTAGATGCAGTGTCTATTGCCAATAATTTCACGGTTTAGCTTAACAGTTAATTTTTTGTGAATATTTTTATTACCGTTTCGTTTTAAACCTCTAATATTGGTATTGATGTTGTCTGCAGAAACAACCAAAACTTTTAAAGAAATACTGTTAGCACTAATGCATTTAAAGATAACTTATGATAAAATATTTAATGTTTCTCCATTTACACAATCTATGGTATTGTAGTTTAACCTCCTCCGGCTAATTGTTATATTGAGGTCACTTTACCAGAAGTCCGCAAAGACTGGTTTAGCTCCCGAAGGAGCGTCCCCGAGAAAAAAAACCCCGCTAATCCTGTTAAGTTCCTAATAAGTTTCCTACTAAAACTTAGTAAGTTCCCGCCGAGTACTTACTAGGAACTTAGTAGGATTAGCAGGTTTTAGTAGGAAACTTAGTAGGATTAGCAAGTTTTAGTAGGAAACTTAGTAGGATTAGCAAGTTTTTAGAAGGAAACTTAGTAGGATTAGCAAGTTTTTAGAAGGAAACTTAGTAGGATTAGCAAGTTTTTAGAAGGAAACTTAGTAGTATTACTAGGGTTTTTAGAAGGAACTTAGTAGGTACTTAACAGGATTGGTAGGTTTTTTTTTCTCGGTTAAGTATTACTTTCTAGTTTTAGTTAATAGTTTTTTTAGTTAAATTCATATGTTTATTAGGGTTTTATTTAATTATTTGAGTTTTAAAGATTTCATAGATATATTAGTAGGCTTACTTTTCAAGAAATATACGAGTTTAAGTAAAAATAATAATTTTTACTTAAACACAGAATCTTCTTGAAAATATAATCCTTATAATATAACTTAACTAGTCGCTAAGCAATAAGGACGCTTATTTATAAAACAATAATAAAAATAACAAATAATTAAGTGTTAGATTGTTTAACTAGAACATTTAAAAAAAATACAATAAACAGCGATGGTCAGTTCTTTTGGTAATTTCGCAGGTGTCAGTGGAATAATTGCACCCATAAGATTTTTCTTAATCTTTTACGACCATAACTGTAGCTATAACGTAATTTATAAAAATATTAATGTAATTCAACAACATAATAACATATATTCTATAACAAAAAAGCATATTTAACTTACCATAAATTTAGAACGATGAAAAAACTTTCATTATCATTGTTTCAAAACTATTATAATCTAAAATTTAAAAATAAAAGTGTATGAAAATATGAAACTAAGTTAAATTAAAAAAATTTAAATAAGCCTCGTGTGTATATATATATATATATATATATATATATATATATATATATATATATATATATATATATATATATATATATATATATATATATATATATATATATATATATATATATATATATATATATATATATATATATATATATATATATATATATATATATATATATATATATATATATATATATACATATATATACACATATATATACACATTATTTTTATATACATATAAAAAAAGGAAAATTTACAGTTGACGAAAAACAATTAATAATTGTATCTAAAATAAATATTTAATTAATTTAATAGATATTAATCGTATCCACCTGTTATCCGCGATAACAGGTGGATACGATTTCTTTTCTCTTAACAAATTTATTTAATTCTTAAAAGAAACACTACACAAAGTCAAAATGGTACAAAAAGAAATCTGATTTAGATCATTGTAAACAACAAACTCTTGTCGCCATTATGAATTAAGTTTGATGTTTCATTAATTAATTGATTGCAAACAGAATCCTAAATAACAACTTCTAATAAAAAGAATATTGTAAAGTAAATATATAATAATACAAAAAAACATAATACAATTTCAAACTTTAAAAAATAGAAATAAAACCTAATCATGTTCATAATTATTTTGAATAACAACACTATAATAAAATTTCTTTGTTTTTTTTTTACAAGAGCGTAGTGAGTAAATTTGCTTGAATCAAAAACAGCTAATCCACACTTTTTCAACAATAAATAAGGAGATATTTTTGACAAAACATGCTTGAAATTGATAGGAATATTAAAAGAATCCATATGATGATGAAACTTACTTACATTTTTATACAATCGACATATACACAAGATTTGTCTTTGGTTATGTGCAATGAATAAAATTTTCACAATCACATTAAATTCTATAATTAAATATGCGTAATATGAAGCGGATTTTAGTTTTTTACCATAATGATAAGCACTATCAGCAACTCTAAAACGGTTATAAAACTGATAAAGATTTAGGTCAACATTTAAATCATTCAAATCCATATTCCGCAACTTTTCTGATATATTTAGTGCTGCACCTAACACAAAAGGATTTAAAGAAAAAGTATTTAAGTGGTCTTCCGTCTGAAATCTAACAAATTTTTCAGCGATTTGTCTTCCATGGCCTTTAGTTCCTGTAACAGACCTCTTTAGTTGGCGATTTACATTTTCAAACATCATAGCTGACATTGTTGTAAGAGGTCCAAAATTTTTTATCTGTTGAGAGAGATGTGCTAATGCATGGAAAGTGAATATGCGAATACCTTCACCAAAATAAGAGCACAATGCCTTTTAAAATAAATATATTAGTTGCTGACAAGCATCAATATCATTTGCTGAAACAATTTCATTCGATAATCTATAAATAGATGTTGAAAGCATTAAATAAAGAGAACAAATTTCAGCATTACCAAGTTTGTAAAACACAAATGGCCCATAATACAATAGAAAATACTTGTGCACTTGAGCTTTCCACTTAACAAGTTCATTATTCATATTTTTTAGCTTCCGTCAACAAAAATGTGGTAATTTTATGGAGTCTATTATTATATCATATAACACTAGTCAATTCTAGGTCGTTTAGGTTGAAAATTTGATTACTTAAAAAAATTTTATTACAAAGTGTTCAGGATTATTATACAGACAATATTATGAAAAGAACAAATTATTTGGTGTACGTCCTGATGAGAAAATCAATTTTTAAAAGGGATCAGGGCAACTTTTGCCCCCTCCCCTTGGCCCCCTTTATTTATTAAAAAAAAAATTATGCCATCTTTAGAAAAATCAAGCATCAGTTACATATTCAAAAATTCAATAAAAATATCTTGCCGTTCAAAAGATATAACCATTTAAAATAAAACTACAAAAAATTAAGTTTACTTTACATTAAAATATAGTGTAATACTCGTAATACTCATGATATAATAAAGCCTAATCTGCAATATTATTGTATAACATTGTATAACATAATAAAATTATATTTTATTTCATGGAAAAATGTAAAATCATCTGCTATATATATATGATATAACATATTATGATGAACAGATTCAGAACATTGTTCAGAAAATATTCCCAATGGCAACTTAGTTCTATTTAAAAACATGACAAGATGGTGTTCAATTATATGACCTTTCCATCCCATAGAAAGGTTGTGGTTGAATGTAGTCTTCACATACTCTTGGTTTTCCTAAATTAATAATTTAAAAAATGGTTAATATAAACAAAAATTAAAACTTTATTTTTAAATGTATGAGTTGTTTATGCATTTATGTAACTATTACCTTTAACTTTCTTATATATGTTGCAATGGCATCAGGATAACCGTCATGGAGTTTCATTCTGAAACACATGTTTACAACTAAATGTAAATTTTAGTGTCATTTATGAGAAATTGCTTTTGATTCAATAAATATTTCTTTTTAAACCATTATTAACTTTTAATATATAAATGCTTTGTAAAATTAAGTATATTTAAAATTTACCTGAAGAAAAAGACTTTAACAGTTCAACAACTGGATAATAAGAAGAAAAGTTATCTAAGATAAATTTTTCCAAATCTGGCAAAAGCTTTCGTATTTTGTTAGCATTTCTACCATCCAGTCCACCTCCATTATACCCATGCCAAATAATTCCATGCTTTTTTAACCAGAGAGCAACATCAGGTTCCTTACAGAAGACATTTGAAATTTCTGTTATAATTTTCATCATTAAATGAAGTTCTGGAGGAGGGATGACATCAAGCACATACATCTCTCCAGACTCAACCAGGAGACATTCTTATAGAATTGCATAGAGGTTTTTTTAAATCCACTTTCAGCAAAGTTTTTATACGTGTTCTTAAGCATATTATTGGTTCTCAGTTCTCCAAGATTATTTTTATCACCATCACAAAATAAACATGAATATTTTCCCTCATGTCCTAACAAAACCAAAACTATGTTGCATAATTTAAGATCTGCAGCAAGGTAAAACTTTAAATTGTTTAGCTTTGTTTTTTCTATGAGAATTTGAAGATTTGTGTGGCTTTCGCAAACATTTTTGGCAAACGCCAATATTATAACTTTGTTCACTCCAGTATTTTAGTTTCTTTGGAGTTATAATTTACTTCTCTGTTAAAAACATTCATAATAACTTTTAAAGATCCTTGGCCACTATCTATTCCTATACGAATAATAACATTCTTGACTTCTAGTCCCCTAGCAATGCAAACATGATTAACTAGAGATACTGGATTTTTGACATACACTAGATCTTTAATGACAGTTTCAATAGTTTTATTTTCATTAACTTTATTTTTGGATAGAAATTCCACTTTTTCCACTGAGTAATAGTTATCTAAGGCATGTGACATTATCTTAATTTTTTTGGAAGAATTAGATTCCACACCTAATCTACCCAAATCTTTTCTTAACTCCATTGCTATTGAATCAATAGTACAGTCTGACATATCATGCTTTCTTTTGATATTATAGAAAGTTTGGGTAGAGATAGTTTTAAGGGTTGACTTTTTCCCTATCTGCAGACTTAAAGGAGTTCCTCCAGTCAACAATGTAACAGTGTTGTCTAACTCAATATTTTTAAATTTTTGTATTTCTTTTAGAGATTTGCTAAGTACTTGCTCAACTGTTTTTAAACCTGAAAATTTGTAAATATGTTTTAGGATTACGTAAAAATTTTTGTTTAAAAAAACTATAATTAAGCTCTTACCTAGCAGTGTTTTTAGGTTCTGTACAATGTCTCTCTTATTACAGGGATGTTGAATTCCAGATCCAATTCCCTGATAACAAGTACAACAAATTTTATCTATAACCTCCTTTGGTACTTCAGGGTCATTAATGTACATGTTTAATACATCCTAAATAAATAAAAGACTATACTTATTTAAAATATACTTAATTAAACTATAATAAAAGTTATAATTTTATAAATGTTTTTAACGTAAATAATTGAGCTACATATATGAGTTGTTTATAAATTACCTGAAGGTTTATAGATTTGGATTTATCTCTTGACATGATACAGATCAGGCAATCACATGTTGACACTGTCTCACCTATATTTATATATATAAAAAAATGTTTATTCATGTTATTTATAGCTTTTGTTACATGCATAAGTAAGTATAAGTAAAAGTATTACCTTTAAATCTCGGAAGTAACTTTATTCTCTCTGATGTGAGCAACCACCTCTCTAAAATAACTAGTGATAAAGTTTCTCCTTTTTTAGCTGAGTACAAATAAATCTTGCAGCTTGGACATAACCCAATAGGGTTGGAAAGAAGTGTCATATTATAGTTAGTGTTGGCATACAGTTGAATCAAGATTAGTAAAGGATTTCCAGTTACCAGTTCAATGCATTTTAAGTTCTTATCACCACAGCAAACACAAATAAGTTTTCTTGAAGAGAAATGATCCCTTGGTTTGTTTGGCATGTTAACTATGTTAATTATGCTAGTTTTAATGCAAATAAATAATAAATATGTTAGATTTTTAACTAAAGCATATGCATACATACATAATAAATTTAGTAGCACTTTGACTAGTTTTACTTTAAATGGTTATATCTTTTGAACGCCAACATATTTTTTATTGAATTTTTGAATATGTAACTGATGCTTGATTTTTCTAAAGATGGCATAATTTTTTTTTTTAATGAATAAAGGGGGCCAAGGGGAGGGGGAAAAAGTTGCCCTGATCCCCTTTAAAAATTGATTTTCTCATCAGGACGTACACCAAATAATTTGTTCTTTTCATAATATTGTCAGTATAATAGTCCTGAACACTTTGTAATAAAAATTTTTTAAGTAATCAAATTTTCAACCTAAACGACCTAGAATTGACTAGTGATAATAATTTTTAAAAAATTAATAATAGACTCCATAAAATTGCCATATTATGGCAATTTTATGGAGTCTATTATTAATTTTTTAAAAATTAATAATAGACTCTCAAAACCCTTTGCGCCAGAAAAGCACCTAAAAACCCTTTGCGCCAAAGTCACCCATTATACTCTGCTAGCCCAAACCCTAATACACTACTTAGCAGCGACAATTATAGTTTAAAAAATTAAAATATGTTGTTAGATAAAATTATTAAATATAAAACTTGAACAATCAAATAAAAATCTAACACGAATGAAAATTTAATAAAAATCATGGTTAAAAATCATTAAAAAAAAAAAAGTTTAATAATAACAATTACAAATTTTTCAAATCTCCGCGAACGAGAGCGTGTAAAGTTAAAACATTATTTTAGGCCGCTTAACTGCAGATTTACCTATATATATATATATATATATATATATATATATATATATATATATATATATATATATATATATATATATATATATATATATATATATATATATATATATATATATATATATATATATATATATATATATATATATATATATATATATATATATATATATATATATATATATATATATATATATATATATATATATATATTATATATATATATATATATATATACATATACATATATATATATATATACACAGGCCTGCCGCGTCCCTTTATGACGCCTGGGGTCAAAATTTATCTAGCGCCCTGTCATATTGACCTAATCAAAAAAAATTTAGATACTGTCCAAATGCTGTTTTTTTTTAAGTTTTACTTTTTAAAACTCACTTTAAGAGGCCGAGAAGGTAAATACAGTTGAGAAGGCTTCTATATATTTTTTAAATAAGTTTGAAAAAAGGTAAAGAAAGAAGCACAAGTTGACAAATTAACTTTATTATATTGCGAGCAACTGTAAATTTTAAATGTAATAGATATTTTAAATGCTTTATAAGAATTTGACTCTCCGTGCTTTATTTAAAGCAAAATTTTCAATGACCTCGTCGAAGCACAGACTTTTTGCTAGATCGTGCTCAATAGATATAACTAAGAGATTGGTAAGCCGGTCTTGACTCATTGTAGATCTTAGTGTTGTCTTGACTAGACCAAGCTTGCTGAAAGACCGCTCTCCTTCGGCGATGGAAACGGGAATTGTGTTAAAAATACGTAATAAAATGCATGTTGATTCGAAGATAGACTCTAGACCTTTTTGATAAATTCCATTTAATAGTTTCATTGAAGTGAGATATTCTTTTGGACCGAAAAGATTGGCACGCTTTAGAGTATCCAGATGACGGACCTCTAAAATAAGTTTGTCTTCATCTACATCGTTCACATACATTTGCGTCAAAGTTTTACATTTTTCCTCCAGGCTAGGTTGTTCAATTTCTTTTTCCTCACTCGACCTACTATTAGATTCTGAGAGCCATAGAAAAGAAAAACTGTTAGTTGTCTTTTCTGCAGCTTGAAATCTGTCTTTTATTTGTTGAATTAATGTATCGAGAGCGGTGTTGAATACATTCACCTCAAACTGTTTTTCATCGTTTTCTAAGAAATGAACTTCGTTCCTTGTTTCTTCGTAAAATGTTTTCCTCTTTCTTGTCCTTTTTTGAACTAGTTTTGACTGAAACCTATAACTAGCTAGACCGGAGGCAACTAAATGTGCTTCATTAATTAATTCGGGCCAAGAAGATCTAAGTCTATCCTCAATAAGAATCTTCATAAGTTTCATCTCATCATCTAAAGTAATGTTTTCTGATTGAAATGACACGCTGACATAGTTTATTGCTTGCAGCGCTTTGAACCAGAAGGTTGTCATGATAATAAACTCAAATGACTGAATCCATTTCTCTAAAGATTTTACGTCAATCAATAGATCAGCAGTTAAATCAAGATCACGAAGTTTCTGCAAAGATAAAAGAATTTCTCTGGGTCGCTTAACCAAAGGCTTCACAGCCTCAATGCGTGCACTCCATCGGGTTTGTGAAGTTTGATGTAGAGACAAACCAGTTGTCTCGGTCAAGATTTTCCATCGTATAGGGCTTCCACTAAAAAGATTGTAGAGTAACTGAATACGACCGAAATAGTTCTTCATTTCTACAGAAGATTCAAGTGAATGAACACCAGCTAAATTAAGGTTATGAGTGCTGCATGGCATGTAGAAAGCTTGAGGATTTCTCTGAAGAATGATCGCTTGTACTCCTTTGTACACACCAGACATATTAGCACCGTTATCATATCCCTGACCTCGACAGTTCTTCAGATCAATGTCATTTTGATTTAAGACATCTATAATTAGCTTAGCAATATCCACACCTTTCTTTTTATCGAGACCCCAAGAAAGCGCTCCTTAACTACCCATTTTTTATCAATACCATAATAGACAAAGCGGAGAACAAATGCAATTTGCTCTGTATGAGAGACGTCAGGCGTTCCATCGACAAGAATAGAATAGTAAATTGCCATATGCGCCTCTTTAATGATGGCACCGTAGACGATTCTTCCGCACTCTTTTATAAATTCATTTTGAGAACTCCAACCCAAATAATGCGCAATAATTTGTTTACCTTCTTGTTGGCAGCGAGAAACCTCTTCTAGATGTAACTGAAGAGTCTTGTTGTGCTTTGCAAGTAGCTCTAGAGTTGCAAGAAAGTTGCCGTTATCGTCATCACCGATCATTTTTGATGAGCCTAAAGTATCGATTTTAATTACACATATAAATCATGACTTTCTGTTTAATTATAGTAAAAATAAATTATAACGTAAACATAAATATAATAATTAATGTTCACAAATATACCTCTGAAGCTAAGGTTGCGTGATGCTAAGAAGAGAATTACATCTAAAATGCACTTTAAAATTTCACGCCACCTGGCTGCCTCATTTCTTATCAATTTTTCTAAACTTGAATCAATCCCACATTGATTTCCCAAGCTTTCCAGCGCTGTTTTCCACTTAATGTAATTGTCTCGATGGGGAGGATTGTTTTGGTGGCCTTTTACTTTTTCAGCTAGCTTTCTCCAGTTTCCATTGATGCCACCATTCCAACGTAGAAGATGTGAATTATTACCAGCCCCGCAGGCTTGTTTGCTTCCGAAAAGTGAGCACGGAAAGCAAAGAAATGATTTTGAAGTTGCACTCCAAACAAGCCAATCTCTGTTTATTTTCTCCCCATTACGAGTTATTTCGTGGAAAACTGATTCAGGAACCTTAATCTTGTTTGAGTCTCTCGGAAAAGATAAAGGATTTTTAGGGGGCCCCTGAAGAACAACTGCATCGCGTTCTACTTTGGACATATTTTCAGCCCACAAAGCAGGATCCTTTGCAGTAATTGCCTCATCCAAATTTATCTTTATGCTAATAATTTAAATAAAGATTTTAATAAGTATATAATTTTCACAAATTCACAAAAATAATTAAAAAATCTTTGCGAAGCAAATTTTACCAAAATATTGTTTTCATTTTCAACTCTTGTTGCCGATATTGCCAACGTGCCACTCGAAGGAGGAAGTGGTTCTTCTGAGTTCAACAAAATTTTACAAGAATCGTTTTCAAAGCTATCCTATAGAAAATAAAGTAAAATATTCAAAAATATCTTGATTTATATAATAATAGTATAATAGAAAAGATATATAAAAAAGAAGGTTATGTTTAGATAAATGAACTTACTATTCCAAAAGCTTGACGTGATTGAGAGGAATTTATAGATATCAATCTGGAAACTGTAGGCCTATCCCCGTCATTTTTTTTAACTTGGATACCACAATCTTCGAGCGTACGTTTATTTTTTTGCTCATTTGCTGTCCTATTTGCCGCATTTTTTCTGTTTTGACAGCCAGAATCTTTTTTCTTGAAAGTGAACATGTTTTGTTTTTAAGAAAGTTTTGAATTTGATTGAAAACTATTTTTATGATACTTAGTAAAACTATATTAAATGTAAGAATCTCAATTATACAATGTACTTTAACCTTATTTATCTATCTATCTATCTATCTATCTATCTATCTATCTATCTATATATATATATATATATATATATATATATATATATATATATATATATATATATATATATATATATATATATATATATATATATATATATATATATATATATATATATATATATATATATATATATATATATATATATATATATATATATATATATATATATATATATATATATATATATATATATATATATATATATATATTATATATATATATATATATAGATATATATTATATATTATATATCTATATATATATATATATATATATATATATATATATATATATATATATATATATATATATATATATATATATATATATATATATATATATATATTATATATATGTTCTTTATAAACAAAGCAGCTCTTACGAATATTTTCCCGCATCAATTTTGACTAGACTCAGATTCCCGCATATGAGTTCGACTAATACTGTATTGTTAAGTTAACAATACATTTGAAACTTATATTTTAAAAATAGCAGTTTGAAAAGTTTTTCATTGAAGCCCTGTGTATCTATTTTTTTTTTTTAAATTATCATTTGAGCGCCCCTTATGATCCTGCGCCCAGGTAAAAAGTACCCAGTGACCCCCCCCCCCCACGCGGCGGCCCTGTATATACATATATATATATATATATATATATATATATACATATACATATATATATATATATATATATATATATATATATATATATATATATATATATATATATATATATATATATATATATATATATAATATATATATATATATATATATATATATATATACAAACACACACTCAAAACATTACAAGTTCTTCATTTAAATTCAACATGAATAATGAATAATTATGCATAATCACATTATATATAAAGAAACAGAAAATTAAATAGTTACCTGAAGCTGATTGATTGTGCATGGTTTGAGATTGAACTAAACATATTGTGTGTTTATATATATATATATATATATAGCTCTTATATATATATATATATATATGTAGCCTCCTCGTCTGTAGTGGCCTTCTCGGCCTTGAGGAGGTGAATTAAAATAAAAAAAAAAAAAAAAAAAAAAATATATATATATATATATATATATATATATATATATATATATATATATATATATATATATATATATATATATATGTATATATATATATATAATGCACAATTATTAAATATTACTTAAAACTTTAGTAACTAGCATTATATAGTTATACATAGTAGCAGGCCCGGCGCTAGACATTCCGAAGGTGGGTGAAAAAAATATTACGGCGCCTTTATTTTATAAATCAAAGTTTATATTTTCGACTTTCTGATAGAAGATCTCATTGATCTTGTAGTCAGAACCTTTTAAAAGCGTAAAAAGCAACAACAACAGTAAAAATAAATAAGAAATTAAATATTATACAGTGCGTTATTGCATATTAGAAGTAATTCATTATATCGTTTATAGAAAAAATAAATGTTTTTAGTTTATTTTTAAAAAGTTCTAATGAAGTTGATAAATCAAAATTATTCAAAACAATTTTGTTGTAGAGATAAGGTGCACGATATCCAATACAAAATTGATTAAACTTTGTACGACAAAATGGTTCATTTAAAAAATTATCATTTCGCAAAGTATATTTGTTTATTTTTTTGATAAAAAAATCTTTAAAAATGGATAGTGCTGAGTCATCTTTACATTGAAACTTTACATTAAAACAAAAACACAAAATTTTATAAATGTTGAGTTGATATACATTAAGGACATTCGCATCTTTAAATAAAAAGTTTGAATGCGTTAAACGATTTTTAAAATATATTAAACGCATAGCGTGTTTCTGACGACGATAAAGAAGTTTGTTTGTGACGATAAAGACTTTCGTTTGTGCTTCCCCAAGCAATATTGGCAGCTATGTATAAAGGAGTAGTAGAGTTGCATTAAACTCTTTTTATCTAGAAAATATCTGATCTTAAATAGGATGCCAATACTTTTAGCAACTTTATTGCTAATGTAGTCAATATGAGTTTTCCATGTAACATTTTCATCAAGAATTATTCCTAAAAACATTGTGGCGGTTTCTCTCTTTATTTCAATTTCATCAATAAATAGTTTTGGCATAAGGTTTGGCAAAGATTGTTTTTTTGATAATGGGTGAAACAGAATATACTTTGTTTTGTCTATGTTTAAAGTTAATTTATTACATTTAAACCAGTCAGAGATAAACTTAAGTTCTTTATTCATTTCGTAGAACAGTTTTGTAATGCTACGGTTTGATATAAATAATTTTGTATCATCAGCAAACATGATGTTTTTTAAGTTTGATACTTCATTTATATCATTTACATAAATTAAAAAAAGAAGAGGCCCGAGAATCGAGCCTTGAGGAACACCGCAAGTTATTTGAGTCATTTCGCTTTGGCGTCTGTTATTGACGGGGACAAATTGTTTTCTATTTGTTAAATAACTTTTATACCAATTTAAAAGATTGTTATTTATTCCATAATATTTGAGTTTTTGCAGTAAAATCTCGTGATCAACGGTATCAAATGCTTTTGATAGATCAATAAATACCTCTAATGTGTATTTGTGCTTTCTATCAAAAGACTTAGAGATTTGCCGGACAAATTGTATAATTGCGTGTTCCGTTGAAATGCATTTTTTAAAACCAAATTGATTATTATTTAACAGTTTATTATCATTAAGATATTTATATGTTCTATTATAAATAATTTTTTCTAAAATTTTTGAAAAAGCTGGGAGAATAGAAATGGGACGGTAGTTGCACACATCTGTTTTGTCACCATTTTTGTAGATTGGAATAACCTTTGCAATTTTTAATTTATCCGGAAAAATCCCTTGTTTTAAAGATGCTTTAAAGATTTTGAAAAGTATATTTAGGTTTTCGTAGCAATCTATAATTATGTTACTATTTATTTCGTCGAAGCCAGTAGCTTTATTTCTTTTAAGAGATTTAAAGGCTATGTCAAACTCCTCGGGAGTTAGTTCAATTGATAATTCATTGTTAGTATTTAGATTGTGTCTAGAGGATAAAAAGCCTATAAATGAGTTATCGGTAGTTGGAATTCTGTTTGAAAGTTTTTTTCCAATTTCTGTAAAGAAATTATTAAAATTTTTTGCAATTTCACAAGGTTCGGAGATAATTTTGTTTTCAAAGTTAATAGTGTTTGGCAGGGAATTTGAAGATATATTTGATTTTCCAATTAATTCTTTTATTATATTCCAAGTGCGCTTTGAGTCGTTTTGAAATTTTTTAATAAGATTTAAATAACAGATTTTTTTCAAATTTTTTCGAGTCTTCTCAAAGATATTTTTATAATTCTTATATATTTTTTCATTTGCAGAAGATTTAATATAACTCTTTTGATAAAATAATTTATTTCGAAAATATTACTTTTCGAGCTTTCTTTTCCGAAAATTTCAACCGGATATCTTCAATATTTAAACCAGCGGCATTTTTATTTTCAATGGAAATCATTGCAAGGTTGTTCAACCTGTCCTTCCCCATTGTCGATCTTAAATAATTTTTGATAATTTTTAATTTCGAAAAAGATCTCTCGGCGCTAGCTACTGTTATTGGTAATGTAAGAAGAATTTTCAATGCAATAGATACATTTGCATAGATTTCATTCAAACGATTTGCGTACAAATATTTTATAGCATTTTCAGGATCCAAATTTTCAGTAAAATGAGAAGAAAGAGACATTAATTCAAAACTTAGTTCCTCGCCAGAAGCTAAAAGGTGCAATGCCAGCATTAAAATCACTAAATCTCTCTTCTATTGCAATATTAGCACATTCAAATAATTTATTAAAAACATCTTGTTTATACTTTTCTTTTGGACATAACTGTTTTTCAAAGTTTTGTTCAGGTTCATCTCTTTCTTTTTCTTACTCTTGAAGCAGATTCTGCTGCAAAACTTTCTTCTACCTTTAAAAAAGAAGCAAGTTCTTGTAATACACACAACAGAGTCAAATTTTTCCTGTTTGTAATTTTCCTGAAAAAAAATAATCGTTTTTTCCATTGCTTTTAAAGCCTCTGAAATATTCGTTGAAGCTGCTTGAAGTTGTTTGCTATTCAAATTAATTTCAAATAAAACTTTATGTCAAATTACGATCGAACACAAAAAATTGAAGCTTGTTATTTTTAAAGCAATAGACTCTGCTGTGATTTTTGCAATTGCTTCATTAGCGGTCTTAGCCGCATCTTGCAGTGCTTCATAAACTTTTGGCATTTCAAATCGAAGTGTTTTTACAGCATTGATGTGGCTTTCCCATCTTGTATCACTTAACGGTTTAACTGTTAAAAATGGAAACTTTGATTGCAAAATTAACCATCTTTTTGTTGAAGCAGAAAAAAAATTGTAAACTTGATCAATTATATTGAAAAACATAGTAATTTTAGGTGAACATCTCACAGAATCAACAACTGCCAGATTTAATGTGTGACTGCAGCATGGAATATAAACCGCTCGGTTGTTTTTTTTTAGAATAAAAGCCTGTACACCATTTCTTACGCCTTTCATATTTGCACCATTGTCATAGCTCTGACCTCTTATGTTTTCCACCAACAAGTTATTTTTTACCAGAGAGTCAATAATCTCATATGATAAATCTAGTCCTGTCGAACCTTCAATTAAATGAAATTCAATAAAACTTTCATTAATGTGAATTTCGTTCTTATCCTCTACATCAACACATCGTACCAGCATTGATATTTGCTCCTGGTGACTGATATCTGGTGTAAAATCAACAATAATTGAAAAATACACGGACTTTTGGATATTTGAGCAAATTTTAAATTTAATGGATTTGCCAATCAAGTCAATGATTTCATTCTGAATACCTTTTGCCAAATAGTGCACAGAATTTGTTTTTTTTTTTTTGCTCTAAACAAATGTTTTTCCATAACTGGATCAAATTCAGTCAAAAATTCTAAAATTTTTAAAAAGT